GTTAATTAATGGGGAAGATGGAGGGGGATGGGATGAGAGGAGGTCTATGGGAATACTTTGTACATTCTGCTCCATTTTTCTATAAATCTAAAGCTGCTCAAAAAAGAAAGTCTATAAATTCAAAACAGACCATTGAGCCAGCTTAAAAGTTTAAAATATGAACTGTGGATTAAATAATAATATTTCATCAACACTGAGTGTTATCAACACTGATTTAGATAATTGGCAAACAATAAAACAAAGAGAGGTATCAGGATGGAGGCAGCTGAAGAGGAGGCCGTGGTCATCAGCCCCAGGGCCCCAGGACCAAGTGTGATGAGGACAGCAGTTCACTGGTCTTAGTGAAGCGGAGGCTGCTGGGTACCTCACTGGGGTGAATTTCAGAGGAGTTGGGTGTGGAAGGTGAGGGACAGGTATAGAGAATGCTTCTCTGGATCTCGGTAGTCAAAGACTAGTTTCAGATACTTCATGACCAAAGTTTTAGCACCAACTTGTTCACAAATCATCAAAGACTGGCTGCTTCTGGGCTCTGTAGACGGATGGAATGGCAAGGACCCGGGATGACACAGCATGGTTTGAACCTGTCCCTGGCTCCCCCTTTTAGAGGTCAGAGACTGCATGACCCTAGCAAAGCCCAGGCCTTTGGTTGTGACCAGGGAAGAAGCAGATCTGACCTGCCCCCAGAGTTCCACACTAAGTCACAGGGTAACAAGTCAAGCTATGTTGCCTCTCCTGACTCCCATCTGGCCCCACAGCATGTGTGAAAGAGGAGCCAAGGGACCCAGAAACCATGTTCTCCCACTGAAAAAGGAGAAGGCAGTTGTGAGTGTTAAAGACTCAAGCACACAAGTGCCCAGCACAGTGCCTGGCACACAAGAGGGATTTTTGCAACAACAACAACAAAATCCTAATTTTGAGAGAAAGTTATGATCTAACATGGAATACTCACGGAGATTTGGTATTATAGCAACTCATCCAATCTAAGACGCTGATTATAAAGTGCGCCATTATTTTACAAATGGCTAAGAGAGAAAAGAACAGCAACCAAGGTGGCACATCTGATTGGAAGGCCCGTATCAATGTGGGGCACTGGGGGAGCTCTGCCTTCAATGTACAGAGAAATGAGGAATATACCCAGCTCACAGAAAGAGGACGCCAGGAAACTCCAGGTCCTCTCGGCGCTGCGGGAAGGGTGAGAAACCAAAACTCTACCCCAGGAGTCTGAACCACAGGCTGGAGCTCCCCAAGATTGGCGGTCTCAGCTTACACAATCAGTGTGGTCCAAAGGAAAACCAAACAGAACACAGCCCGCAAGCAGACATTTTCATTTAAAAGAATCTCAGGTCAGGAGTGATGGGCAGTAAACCTAAATCTTCACTAGAAGAACTACATTGTAATAAGACACCCGAATTCCAGAGATGTGAAAACTCACAAAATTAGGAGTCTTAAAACCTACGAACCATAGTCAAATAAATACAATGCTACCTCAGGTCACACGACACCTGGGTCTATATTCCAAGAGCCCACATATGAAATGGATGGGAGATGGCTGCTCTCTGCTCCTGCAGACTAGCACTGCCCTATTTCATCCAGGCTCATAGAACCTTTGGCCAATCCATCCCCAACTAAAAGTTTGTCTCAGGTAGGGCTACACCGCTTCCCTGGGCCAATGCAAGGAATGCAGTTTAGACTCACAGCCCAACTACAACTCAGACAGCAATTACATTTCACGTGTCTAAATGCTGCAGGCAAACATTCCCGTGGCAGTGAGTTGGCAAGTGCGTAGGCAGCTGCAAATTTAATAAATCTTAATTGTTCTGTTTATACAAACAAGCAAGCTGAAGCCACTGACGTAGCTGGGGCTTTCAATGACTCGGAGCATGGAGGGAGGGAAAAAGTGTGGACAACCAACGGCTCATAAATAATTAGCTTTGGGGTAGGGTTTTTCCCCCCTTCCTTTTGGACCAAAAATAGTATGTGGAATGTTTCTAAGTTGGCAAGATGACAACCTCTGAAGACAGTACCTACTTTCTACCCGCCAGGCCCGGGGACGTGCATACGTGCATGTGTGCGCATAACCACAGAGGCACACACCGCAGACCCACCCGCGACAAACCACGCACACACCAAAGCGACGGGAGGACTTGCCCCTCGGAGGTGTCATTGCTTCAGTAGCTCTCAGAAAGAAAAACAGGATGGTGTCTGCAGAAGTCTACCAGGTCCTCATTCACACAGCACTTGAGAACCTACTACGGGCCATTGTTACAACAGGAACTTTGCTACCAGGAGCTCAGTGGACCCTCAGTTGAGTTTGGCAGACTGTGGCTAAATGACCCTCAGGTCACACACACGAATGGTGGAGCCTGCGTTTGAACCCGGAGTGAAAAGTGGTGGTTCTCAAAGGGTGGCCCCCAGGTCAGCAGCAGCAGCAGCATCACCTGGGATCTTGTTGGAAATGCAGGTTCATGGGCTACTGTAAACCTAATGAATTGAAAACTCCAGAGACGGGGCCCGGCAATCTATGTTTTAACAAGCTGTCCTATAAAGGAGCCACCAGTGGTCTCCGTGTATTGGCCCCCACGTTGTTTACTTCTTCACATGGAAGGAGATCTGTTAGCTCAAAAGCCAGCAAGCACCAAAGTCAGATTTTTACACATCCAGTTGTTTTAAACATAGCCCAAGTAAGCAGATTCTTTAGTCATTTAGGGCTTTCCTGCTTTACATACCCCACCAAGCAGCACCCAACATCTTCTGGCCATAGACAAGATACACCTCAGGGCTACATGGGTCCCAGGTGGACCTTCAGAGCTCTCTGACCCAGAGAGTTCTACAGTGATTACTAAGCAACATCAGCTGGACATGTGTGCTCTGGCCCCATGCCACTCTCCACCCAAGCAGGATGGACAGTCTACAGGGCAGGTGGCTGCTCTTCTGTTCACTGACATATCTCAGTGCCTAAAACAGAGCCTCAAAAACATTTAGTGAGCATTTACTATGTGCTAGGTACCATGGCTAGACACTAGTGGACCCAAACTTGACGCTCACATGGATCTTGGCCTGGGGGCTGTGAAGGTGGTGGCGTCCAACTAGAGAGAGGTTTGAAGTGCAGGAGTTAGAGGTGGTCTGGACACCAGGTCCTGCGTTCCGCATCTCCCACCAGAGCCCACCAGGCCAGCCTGTGTGGACCACTGTCCTTTCCTGATGATTTTCCCTATTTCAAGAGAAGTCCATTTGTTGTTCTAAACTGGGGGTTGTGTGCAGGGCTTAAGTGATCAAAAGCATTTCTACTTTCATATCCAACAGTTCACACCAACTTCAAAATAAGTTCATGAAGTAAGGTTGCCATTAATAGTTCCATTTGAGGCCAGGTACAGTGGCTCATGCTTGTAATCCCAGCACTTTGGGAGGCCGAGGAGGGTGGACCACCTGAGGTCAGGAGTTCAAGACCAGTCTGGCCAAGATGGCAAACCCTGTCTCTACTAAAAATGCAAAAAAGTTAGCTGGGTGTCGTGGCATATGCCTGTAATTGCAGCTACTTGGGAGGCTGAGACAGGAGAATTGCTTGAGCCAGGGAGGTGGAGGCTGCAGCGAGCTGAGATTGTGCCCCTGCACTCCAGCCTAGCGACAGAGCAAGTCTCCATCTCAAAAAAGAAACAAACAAGGAGCCACGGTGGCTCGGGCCAGTTGTCCTAGTGCTTGAGGAGGCGAGGCTATGCGTTCAAGGTCAGCCTGGGCAACATAAGAATCTCTCATTCATAAAAAAAAAAAAAGAAACAAACAAAAAATCAAGTTCCGTTTTATAGATGGGGAAAGTGAGCCCCAAGAGGCCAAACAGCTCCCTCAAGGCCACAAACCAGTTGGTGTTAGGCCCAGAGCCGGGCCTTGGTCTTGTGACTGCCCTGCCCAGTCCACGGGTCACCCACTCTCCTATAGATGTTACTTATGCCACCAGCTGGAGGCCAAGAAGAAATCGCAGATTTCTGGGAAATGCAGATTCCAAAGAATGAGAGATTTCAAGGACATCGGAGCTCCTTGGACCAGAGCATGCCAGAGTCCCGTGTCATTATGGGCCAACGCCTAGCGGGAGAACAGAGCATTCATTCTCTTGGAAACAGTGGCACAAGGGTACACCGATATACACTTGGCTTTTCCAGAAATGGGGAGACACTCCGGGCCCCAGGGGAGTCTTCCCCAAGTCACAACGCAGGTTAACAACATGAGTTTTGGAGTCAGAGGCCAGAGACCACTGAGGGGCTGATGCCTCCCTTGAACAAATCACTTCAGGCTTGCCCCTTCTGTTTCCTCGTGCTGAAAGTTGAGATTATGCTGCCTCCTGGGTGTCACTGAGAGAGTTACAGGAGGCTTTAATGACAACCGTCTGCACAGTCCCTGCCACACCCCGTGGATGGCCAATACACAGCATCTCGAGTGACAATCATAACTGTTACTCACTGTTGTCATGATGACTGCTCTTATTATTGCTTCAGCCTGCAAAGACCCTGGGAGTGGCTCTGAGCATGGCTCAGTGGGGTAAGTGGGAACTCCTGCCTGGGAGAACTCAAAGGCACAACGCCTCCCTCTCCTGTCCCTACTGAGCCCCGTATACCCTCCATCGCCAGAGTGGCCACATCGTCCAGCTTGCCCGCAACAACCCAGGTTTCCTGGGACAGTCCTGGTTCACACCTGTTGTCACAGAGTAATCATCGGTAGCATCTTTGCCCACTCCCCAGTGTGCCCTGATTTGGGAGGTGATCTGCAAGACCCCCCCTCTGCTATGTGCTTGTCACACCCTGTCAGCTTACCCCCGACCCTGGGGTTTCTTGAAAGCAAGAATCCTGGGGCCCAGCACAGTACAGCCCAGAGCTGATCCCCCATAAATGTTCCTTGGTCTTCTTGGAAACTTCCAGAAAGCCCACGCGTCCTGTCCCAGTGTCACGGGCCCACCAACCCTCCAGGCACCCTGCCCGCTAGCCGTGTGGAGCAGATGGCAGACACTGTACCTTTTGGAATCCAGTTGGCTCCCCTGGAGAACTTTGTGTCTGTTATTTCAAGGAAGGAGAGGAAAAGGGGGGAAAAAAAATAAGTTAAGTGAGTGAAACTTAAATCCCAACAGAGCCTGTAATGGAATATTCATTTTGTCAGGGGAGTGTTTCTTTAAAACTTCTGGTCATCTGGACAGCCTGAGCCAGCAGGTGATTCGATTTAATGAGCTTTTTAACACACTTCAGGCCCAGCTGGGATTCTGTCTGGGAAGGCCTCGGCCAAGGCGGGCTGGGGCCATGGTCGACCCGGCTTGGGCTAGGCTGACACCTAGTGGCCATCCTGGCGGCTCCGGGGCCAGGAAAGCCTGGGGCGCCCAGCTTGGGGCTGGGGTCTGAGGCTGAAAGGGCCCTTAGGGGCCATCTTACCACCTTCCTCAGATTTAGGAAAATGTAACCTCTGTGCCTCAGTTTCCTCGTTGGTTCACAGAGCATATAACAGCACCTCCTTATCTAAAGGCCTGTTATGAGGACATGGTATTGAGCAAAGGTTATGATCATTACTAGTTTTGCTATTATTATTTTGTGTGAGGAGACACAGGGTCCCCCCAAAAGGAGGTGCTTGTTCAATGGAGAAACAGGGCAAGTTAGAGACACAGGGTTGGACCCCAGGGCTCCTGATGCCACACCAGTGCTTCCCCAGGTCACGCCTACAACACAAGGGTGTGTTTGCAGGCTCGCTCTGCCACTGACCACCCATGTGGCCTTGGGCAAGTTTTTTCGCTGCTTGGAGTCTCCGCTCCCTCTCTGGAGGCTGGAGATACAATGACTGCAGCAGCGGGGAGCCGTACAGCCTGAACGGGAGAGTGCACACACAGCCCTCAGCATGGGCGGTAGGAAGCACTCCTTACATATTAACTACCTCACTAGGACTCCAGCCTCACAAGGTGGTTGGATGACCAAATAGCGTCATGTGAGTCAAGTTCCCAGGACCCGTGAGTGTTCCTGTCCCCTGTGTGGTGAATGCACAGGGCAGGGTGAATGCAGGCTGAGCATGTATCCCCAGGGGAACCTAGGCCCAGTTATAGTCCTGTCCCTAGAACCTGGGACCTGCACATCCTTGGCACCTACCAGCAGGTGGCTGGAGTCCTTGAGCTTGGACTTGTACAGCATCCACTGGTAGCGCAGATCTTCCAGCTCATCGGAGGCCCCCCTTGCTGGCCTGAGACGAAGGACGTTCTCAAAGAGATGCTGACCTTCTGGCACCCGAGCCTCCAGCTCCTGGGGGGAAATAGTGGCATCATGGTGCGGCTTCCAAATGGCCCAGACAGCCCCACTTGGCTGGTAAAGATGGGTCCATCAAATTTCACTCGACAGACAGGTGGGCAGGGAGGAGGCAGACAGAATCCATAAAGTGGACTCCCATCTGCATTTCAAGCCAAGGCCCAGCACTTGCTCTCGGGAATATTACAGGTTGGCCTCCTGCATGGAACAGGTGGTTGCGCTGAAGACCCCCAGTGGTTACTTCCAACTCTGACATTCCAGGACCAAGTCCTCCAGAGGGCTTGACTAGAGGTAGCATCGTCCTAAAAGCTGTCACTGTGAACATGTCTTTCAGTGACATTTTGAGCCTGGCAGAGTGGTGTTAGAATGTGCAGATTTTCTCACGAAATGTTAAGTCCTGTGTTCCCTTGAGACAGAAACTTTTATTCTCGGGACTCCTAAGAGGTGGTGTGATGGGGCAATAGGGGTGGAGCTAGAAGTCCAGGAGCCCAGGTTTAAGTCCTGGCTTTGGATCCTGGCCCTGCGTCATCCTACTAGCATGTACCATGGGACACCTTGCTTAGCTTCTCAGAGCCCGCTGGAACGTATGCTGTACAAAAGCAAGGGGGTTTAACTTGAGGAACAGAAAGTCATTTCTGAGATGCTGGAGTTGGGTGGGGGTGGGGTGGAAGGAATGAGAGGAGACGGGAGAGGCAAGCAAGGAAGACTTCCAGGTAATGGCCAACTAGATAATTGGGACCAAACCTCTCACTAAGGACAAAATATTTAAAGCATTTTAAAGGCATGAAAGGATTAACAAAAGAGTGTGAGGCACACCAGGCCACAACTTGGGAAAGAATGAAAACCCAGGGAAGTCAGTGCTGTGTTCAGACCTGCTTTTGCCCACAGAATATTTGCCAATTTGGAAGGAATAGCTGTAAAACACCTTTGCTTTTGGCAGCCTCACCGGGCCAGGGAGACAAAGATCAAAGTCTAGCCCTACAGAGGTGGAGATTCTGATAGGATTCATTCACCCTTTCACCAAGATCCTAATGCCTTCACCCTACAAAAATGGAGCAGAAGTAAACCTGAACCTTGTGTGGACTTGCAGCCCAGTTCAAAGTCATCTTAGTAGACCAGGGAGACTCAAGCCTTGAACTTGGATTTAGTGGCCCCAAAATGAAAGGCCCCTACTTGCCTGCAGAAGAAAACAAAATCGACTCTGGAGGAAAAGATTATCCTAAATCTTAANTTGGCAGACACAATGTCTAGCACACAAAGCCACACAAAGACACAAGAAACCAAGAATAAGAACAGGCAGAAATAATATACATCAGAAACATTCCTAAAATGCCTTGAGATCTTGGAATTATCAGACACAATCTATAAAAAGCTATGTTTACTATGTTCAAAGAATTAAAAGATGGGCTTAAAAATTTTAGCAAGCTTCTGGAAGGTATGAAAAATGACAGAGTTTCAGTTAAGATAGGAATTATAAAACAAGAAAAAAAATAAAGATGAGAAGAGTGATACAGTCAATTACTAAAAGGACCAAATAGAAGTTCTAGAACTGATAACTACGACAACAAAAGTTAAGAACTCAATAGACATGTGTAACAGAAGATGAAACACAGCTAAAGAGAAAATTAGTAAACTGGAAGATGGATCAGAAAAACTATCCAGAATGCAACATGAAGAAACAAAAGGTTGAAAAATACACAAATAAGGGTAAGAGACATAAAGCACACAGTGAGAAGTAGTAACATAGGTTTAAATGAGATCACAGTAGGAGAGGAGAAAGGGAACAAGGCAGAGATAATATTTTAAGAAATATTGTTAGTAAAAACAAAATTCAAATAACAAGTTTGGGAATTAAGAGGAAAAAAAAAAAAAAAAAAAAAAAAAAACAAAAATAATGTTAAAGAGTTTTTCAGAAATATCCTAGATCAGATTCAGGAGTTAAAATGAATCCCAAGCCAGATAAATAAAAATAAATTTAAACCTAAACATATGGAAATAATTGCAGAAAAATAGGGAAACAGAGGTGAGCTAGGGCCTGGCTGAGAAAGGCCTTGAGTAATAAACTCAGGGGTTAAACTCTATAGTAAAAGGTTTTCATTAGGGGGAGGACAAGGTCATATTTCTCATTCTGGCTGCAGAATGAGCCATGACCTAGATGGGGACCCAACAGGAAGGAGGGAGGGTCAGCTGGGAGGCTACAGCCGTAGTCGGGGCCAAAAATGGTAAGTGCCTAAATTAAGACAGTAATAGTGCGAGGGAAGGGAAACACAAAATGTCTAGGAGGTGGAATCAAGGAGTTTTGGCAACCAATTAGATGTGAGAGGGAAGAAGACAGAAGAGAAGTGGTCGTTCATTTGCAAAAATGGCTGTGACTTCCCTCATCTCCCACCCCCCAGTCACATCCACACCCACTACAACATGACTTTGCAGTGCCTTCCATCAAATGGTTGGAGTCTCTCTTTCCTTTCCTTGAATCTAGGCTGGTTTTGGCAAACAGAATGCAGGGCAATTAACGTTATGCTGGCTCCTAGTCTTGACCTCAAAAGTCCTTGCCTGCTGCTACTGCTGTCTTCTGCCCTGACTCTGCTCTGAGAAGTCCAGGCTGTGCCACAGGAGCGTGAGAGATGTGTCGTCCACAGCATTCTCATCTCTCATAGCCTGCTAGCCCCCAGAATTAGAGACACCTGACTGACTGACCACTGACAGCATACAGACTGGAAGTACTGCCCGGCTGAGTTCAGCCTAACTTGCCACGCTTGTGAACCACGGGTTAAATAAGTGGTGGTTGTTTTCAGCCACAAACGGTTGGTATGGTTTGTCACACAGCAATAGCTAAGTGACAGAGGAGTCAAGTGATGAGTTGTGGTATTTTCCAAGTAGGGAAATCCATAAGCATGCTGAATATGTGCATGAATGCCAGAAAAAGTTCTAAAATCCTTGAACCAAAAAAGTATAAAAGCCGTTATCTATAGACAAAGGAGAACAGCTCACACACTGTGGGTGTGCTCCTTATTCTGAAGACCCCCCTGGTGGCAAAGCATCTGTGAGTGCAAGCCCTATGGATGAGGGGCCTCTCCTGCGGAACAGACCTGAAGCTTTGATTCTCTGGTCTTCAAGTCTTCAGCTGTAGAAGTTCTCATTGCAATGATTCTAACAAGCTTCAAATTTTCCACCTGCAACCACTGCTCAAAGTTCCTCAGGAGCTGGGAGAAATCTTCGTGGCTCCCTTCTTCCTGGAGAAGATCTACCTATAGGATCACACACGGCCAAAGCATCAGAGGTAAAGCAGGCCCCTGGTTGTGTGTCCTAGGAATTCCATCTGAGGCAGAGGGGCAGGGATGGGGACAAGATGCCTAAAAGGTGACAGGAGAGGCCTGGGAGATGAACAAAGAATCTCTACTCAACACGGCCACATTTAGGGGCCAAGAACATTCCTTATTATCTCCTCTCTGTTCCCCTGAGAGGTGACGGAAACCACCACCGTCCCTTTCCAGGATAGCTATACAAGTGGTCACCCTTCCCTGTGCTTGCCCCCTCGGGGCTCCGTAGCTCCAGCGATCTGTCTGCGACGTAAGCCCATTCAGCTAAGTTCTTGCTTATACCGCTGGTGCCTCACTCCTCCCCGCTGTGACCCGGGAGTCTCGGTTCCACTGCGAGTGCTGCCTTCCCCGTCCTCTGAGCCCGGGCCTGCAGACGTGTCTCGGCCCCTCAAACTGGCACTCTTTCTGCCTCTGCTCTTCACACACACTGTCTCCTCTGCTGGGAACACGCCTCCCTCCCTCCTCTCCTCACTGCCACTCAGCCTTGAAAATTCAGCTGACATTTCAGATCTTCCAGGAGGGCTTCCCTGCCCCGGACCTGGGACCTGCTGTAGGCTCCCGTAGCCTCTGGCCTGTCTGCCAAGGTATGCCTCTTTTTTGTAAACCCTTATTTAACTGCCCGTGGATGCCACTTCCTTGCTTTTCAACAAAGCTGTTTGTGTAAACGCAGTAAGGGGAAGTCATGGAGGGGGGACAATGTAGTTAGTTCTTTTCCTGTCTTTTTTTCTAAAATACAATCATGGCACAAAAATACACTTATCTTATGATTTTAGTTTCCACTCTGGGACCGGCAGGAAGTGTTCAGCCCCGATGCTCTCCTCCCCACAGAGGTGAGCATCTCCGGGGTCCAGCACCACAGGCATAGCCCGAGAGCTTGTTAGAAATGCAGAATCGAACTGTGGGCCCCAGTCAGATCTACTGACTCAGAGTCTGCATTTTATTTTTGATTGATTGATTGATTGAGATGGGGTCTTGTTTTGTCACCCAGGCTGGAGTGCAGTGCCACGATCACAGCTCCCTGCACCCCGAAACTCCTGGGCTCAAGTGATCCTCCACCTCAGGCCCCTGAGTAGCTGGGCCTACTACAGGTGCACACCACTATGTCCAACTAATTTAAAAAAAATTTTTTTTATCGAGATAGGGTCTTGCTATATTGCCCAGACTGGTCTCAAACTCCTGACCTCAAGCAATTCTCCTGCCTTGGCCTTCCAAGGTTCTGGGATTGTAGGTGTAGCTCACTGCACCCAGCCCAGAACCTGCATTTTAATACAAGGCTGGGTGCCCACTGAAAAACTCTGCACTGGACTCCGAGTTCTCTGAGGGTCGGCAGTGTTACTCACAGCTCTGAGCACAGTCGTTGGAATACGGTAGCACCCAGCAAATGGATGAGTGAATGAAAGAATGAATGGGAAAATGAAGAATATGATGTACTTGAACAACAAGGAATAACTTTATTTTCAACAAAGCTCAAGTTTGTTTAAAGGCAGTGAGGGATGGATGAAACACGACACAAAAATATTCCCATCTTGTGTGGTTTCAGTGACCGATCTGGGCCAGCAGGAACTGTTCAGCCCTAACACTCCCTTCCCTGCAGGAGCTGCTGCTGATGGCTCACAGAGGTGAGTATCTGTCTGGCTAAAGGACACCCATGACCTGCCCTGGCAGCCTGGCTTTGCAGATTCTGGGATCGCTGAGGTCCTCCATGGAGTAGGATCAATTGCTCTTTGGGCCACAGCTGGGGCAGGCTCAAATAAAACAGGATGTAGCCAAGTCCTCAGCTGAGCATGTTGCCCCAGACAGGGAGGGGCCTGTGCTGGAGACCCCTACCCATCTCTTGACCTGGGGCCTGGCCTCTTCCCCCAAAGGCCTGCTAGACAGACTCACCTGTCGACGACGCCTGGGAATCGGATTTACGGGGTTGATGAGAAACCCTGACTTCGGGATGTTGTTGGTGAAAACCATTTTCTTCCCCGAATCCACTTCCATCCTCTGCAGATGCCAGTTTCTGGTGAAGTTGAGAAGACAAACTCAGCCCAATCAATGCGGAGATGTGGTGGGGACCCACCAGGACATGAGAAAAGTAATGGAATTGTGGAACCACGGTTGACAAGTCAGAGCCTCCCACTGAAGTTTGTCAGAATGTTCCTGAGGCATGCTCACATCCAGTTTCTGACTTTAAACTCACAGTAACCCGTCATGAAGGTGCGTATGCTTATTGATGCAGATGGGGAAACTGAGGCTCAAGCCAGTGTTGATGGAGGCTAACTCCCAAGATGGGGACATTTCCTGGCTCCTCCTGCTCCTGCTAGAACAGCTAACTGGGCCACAGTGTAAAGGTGCCCAAGGCCTCTGGCTCCACGCTGGGCAGTGCCCTGGCCTTCTGCTCTATGAGCACCTGAGTGCCCCTGAGTGGGAAAGGACGGTGTCCCAGACAAGGCTCAGAGCCCAGGAGGCACTCTCACCTCAACAGACTTTCTTCCAGCAGCCTCAAGGCCCGCCATGACGCTGCCAGCTCCCCGAGCTCTGCCCGCACCACGCCAGTACCCTCCGGAGAGGACTTCTCCATCACCAGCCAGCCCTGTGCTTCCACCAGGGACAGCTGGGCCTCCTTCTCAGGGAATTCTGCCGCCAGCCTCTGAAGGACACATGGACACACAGACACACGCACAGTGAAGGTGGAGGGTGGTTTCTGCTCCTGAGTGTGGGTACATTGGCCCATCAAGGCTGCTTCATTGGGAAGTCGGGGAGGGAACCACCACCTTACCTCGAACTCTGCCTCTTGGGACTTGGCAGTGCCCGGGCCCACGTCTCCTCGGTGTGCCTCCAGCTTTTGCGTGGTCACAGCGATCCACTGCCGTAGCTCCAGCAGCTGGTGGCTAAAGGTGCAGTGCTCCTGCACGCTCTGCCGACACCCGTCCACAAGGTCCTGCAGCACAGCCCGGGGAGCCCAGGGCGTCCTGAGTGTTGGCCGAGGGGGAGACCTCTGGCACCACCTCCACCCTGCCGGACTCACACCTGCCAGGCACCCCAGGGCTTCCCACCAAGTAGCACCACAAGGAATTGACCCCGGGACGATCGACTCTGGTTTAAAGCCTGTCTTGCTTTTAGGAAAACGACCAAGTCTAGGTGAGGGTGGGAAATCGATCTCTTGTCCACCACTGATCCAAGTGTAAATTGGCCCAACCACTTGTGAAGACCATGGGTCAGAATCTACCCAAACGGAACGTGGCTGCAGCTGACGGCCCACCATTCCACTCCTGGTGTATGCCCTGGAAATGGGAACACATCCTCACCCAAGGGCACACATGTGACAGCCCCAAGCTGGAAATTATCCAAGTGCCCACTGAGAGTAGATGAATAAATACCCGGTGTTATATTCACACAATGGAATGCTTTACAGCAGCAGGAATGAACAGTCTACATCCACATGCAACATAGTAGATGAATTTACAACCATCAGGTGGAGAGCTAAAGGCCAGGCACAAAAGAAAACATTCTGTCCAGTTCAATTTAAATGAAGGATAACATCAGGCAACCCCAAGCTCTGTTGCAGCAAGCCTGAAGTCAGAGCTGCCCTTGAGGGTCAGGAATGGTGAGCTGGGATGACTGCAGGGGCACAGGGGTTCTGGGAGGCTGATAGTATTCTGTGTTTTATCTGGGTGCTGGTGACACAGATGCATTTAATTTTTTTAAAAACTCATCGAGCTGCACATTCAGATGTTCATGTTCAGTCTTTCTTTTTTTTCTCTCCCTGAGTACTGCTTCCTGGGCCAATCTATTGCTCAGCTCTGTCTCCAGGGAAGGCGGACACCGTCTCCAGAAAGGCAGCCATTCTCTAGGCCCCTGGCCAGCCAGCCTGAGGCCCTTGGAGCTTTCTTTCCATAGCCTGCCACGAACCAGTCTGACCACAGGGCCTGCCTTGCCCATTCCAGCTGTGTTCCCCAGATTAGGTCATCATGGCTCTCTGCAGGGCCACTATAGGCCCTGCCTTCTGCATTCCACAGACACTGGCTGAGACCCTGGATACCAGGCCCATACCAGGGGCTAGAGAGCCTGCTGCATCTGTCCTCAATGAGCCATCGATGAGGGCCTGAGAAGTTATCTAAAACTCCACCTCTCTGGGTTGTCCCTGCCACTGTCCCCTCCCGGTGCCTGTGTGCCAACATTAGACCAAATGCCTCCAATGGCTTCCAGTGCATAGAGCTGTGACCTCCAACATGGAAACGTGCCCCCCAGGGAGACACGGAGAATACCTCGCTGTGGAGAAGGACATATGAGATTCACAGGCACTGAGTACCAAAATAATAAAAGGGCAATTTCTCTGTAAAGAAGAATATAAACAGTAAGAATTGGAATGTCATTTCGCAACACCTAGTGAAGCTCAGTTAATGCTGCTTCTTATAACAATTAACCTAGCCCATCATTTGGAGGAGGTATTAGAGCTGACTTTGCTGCCTCTGTGAGTTTCTCTGGGCTACTGAGAAGTGAGGACAGTGTTTCCTATTTCTCTACTGCTTTGACCTTGAAACTACAAACTGCTAGTTTATTAAATGTAATTAAAAGAATTCATCCAGACATCGATCATCACTTAGACCAATGGGTCTCCACAGGTGGTGCCGCATTTCCTGGAAACGGGTGGGGAGAGTTTTCCGTTGCTTCAGTAGAGGTGGTGGGGGTGAAACTAGGTGGCGTGAGAGGGATGGGTGCTCGCATTCCACCCTAGGCGGACAGTCCACCAATGCAGAACGGGCCCACATCCCACATGATTTTCTCACATCCTCCTAATATCCACAGCAGGAAGAAATCTGTTTGTCATGACCTGAGCTCAGACTCTCACTCCAATCAAACAAACACAAAGAGGCTTTTGCAGTCTTAACCAACATGCTGACTTCTCTAGAGCTGCACCCTTTGTGTAAGCGGATGGAAGACTGCTGTTGAGTTTGATCAAAGTTCTATCAAGCGTTGTTCACATGTCAGAAAACCACATCACTAGAGGCCCTGGTGGCTGTGCCACTTGACACGGCATTTGCGGCTGTCACACAGGGAGGGCACGTGCTGAGCGGCTCCTCTGTCTTGAGTGTGGCCATCTGGGAGTACTTACATACTGAAGGACAATATTGTATTATAATTACTTTCCTTTTACTTCTCTTTTATATTTCCTGGGCCAGTAACTTATATTCCCTCTGAATTCCAGGAGTGTAAAGAGTAGGCTAGGAATATCAGGTATGAAAACAGGGCGTGCAAAGTCAGGTAGGGTGGAGAACTCTCACTGCCTCACACTGGCTTTTCTTGAGATGTGAGTGCCAGAGACCCTGCTTTGTACTCCTCAGGGCTTGTGACAAAGGCAGACCCAGGGCTCCATCTGAATCAGTGTCACAGTGGGGCCTGAGTCTGCGTTTCCATTTGTCCTCAGGCCAGTTTTGAAGGAGCTTGGAGTTCCACCCCCACTGCTGGAAGAACTCCATACAATCCTGGGCAAGCCCTAGAAAGAGCCGAGGTGGCCACTAGAGGGCACTGCTGACGAAGCTCTGTGCCCTCCAGGCCTGGTGCAGGCTGCAGGGTGCCTGAGGTTCTCAGCAGCCGCTCTCTTCTTTGCCTGGTGGCCCTAATCTCAATATGTAATTGTGCATTTACTTGTTTGTTTGCTGATTAATTGTCCATCTACCCAACTGGAGCATAACTCCCAGGAGGGCAGGGGCCTGGGCTGTCATGCTCTGCTACCTCCATCCTTAGAGTCTACCTAGAACACTGCCTGGCATACAGGAGGTGCTTACTCATTACCTGCTATGTGAATGAGGAGGGAAGAAAAAAAAGAGAAAGAAAAAAGAGAGGTTAGAAGGAATGACGGCGGGAAAGGGGGAGAAATGCCCCAGGCGTGGAGGATTACAGGGGCCTGCTCTCTGTCTAACCACAGTCCCTTCTGCCAGCCCCTTACCTCCAGAGACCTCTGCAGGGCCTGGACGTCGGAGGAGAGCTGGTCCATTTTGTGCTGGTGGTTGGGATTCTCCTGGACGAGAGGCCTCGCAGCCTCCATCTGTGCCCCTAGGTCCAGCCCCTCTTCCTGCAGCCCCTGCCGTAGAGAAGGGAACAGGTAGGCACATCTTCCCGCCTCTCCCTCCCTCGGGGTGGCTAATCAGGGCAGGGGCTCTGAATGGGAGAGGCTGGCGGGGGGGGGGGTGCCTTCCCGAGGGCAATGGGGCTCTTTCACACCAGCAGCCGTACCAACCACATGGCTGGTCTAATGTGTCCACTCTCAGGGCTGGAGAGATTTTAAAAATCAGACAAAAATATTCAGGGACACCATGAAAATAAACTCTGCTACAGGCCAGATGGCATCTCCAGGGGCAAGCTCACATCGGGACTCATCCTTGATGACCACCTCTCATTATGAAGAAGCACGTCCCAATTTTAGTTTTAAAACCCAAAATGCACTGTTTTTTCCCCCTTTTTTTGGAGACAGAGTCTCGCTCTCACCCATGCTTGGAGTGCAGTGAGTAGGCTCACTGCAACCTCTACCTTGTGGGTTCAAGTGATTCTTGTGGCTCAGCCTCCCGAGCAGCTGGGATTACAGACTCCCACCACCATGCCTGGCTAATTTTTTGCATTTTCTTTGCTTTTTTTAAGAAGAAACAGGGTTTTACCATGTTGCCCAGGCTGGTCTTAAACTCCTAAACTCAGGTAATCTGCCCACCTGCTAAAATGCTGGGATTGCAGGGGTGAGCCACCCCTCCCAGCCTAAAATGCCCTATTTTTTTTTTTTTTTTTTTTCATTTTGAGACAGAGTCTCAAATGGTTGCCCAGGCTGGAGTGCAATGGCACAATTTTGGCCCACTGCAACCTCTGCCTCCTGGGTTCAAGCAATTCTCCTGCCTCAGTCCTAAGTAGCTGGGATTACAGGTGCGTGCCACCACACCTGGCCATATATATATATATATATATATATATATATATATATATATATATATATATATATATATATATATATATATATATTTTAGTAGAGATGGGGTTTCACTATGTTGGCCAGACTGGTCTTGAACTCCTGACCTCATGATCCGCCCCCCTCAGCCTCCCAGACTATTGGGATTATAGGTGTGAGCCACCACGCCTGGCCTAAAATGCACTATTTTTAATGTCTTCTAGAGAACACTCTCAATTTATGTGTGAGCTGTACTTGGATTTTAAAAAGATAACTGTTGTTATCACATGCATTTTGAAAACCAGCAAGCTCCTTATCCAGCTAACCATGATCAATGGTCAGAATGTTTATTCTTAATCCCAAAGTTGGTTTAACTGAACAACTCTGGACTCATTAAGAATACTTAGCGAAGCAATTCTAAAAACAAATACCAATGTTAGACTTTGGAACTGAGGAGTAAACAAACAGCTTGTCATTTTGCTGAGCTCAAGACTCAGCCGTTTGATGCTGGGAGCCATCAGATAAATAAGCAGAGGGTCTGTTGAGATGAAAGGTCAGATCTCAACCAGGGTCTAAATTTCTGGTTCACGGCAGCTGTTGCTTTGCTGATTACTGCTGGAGGAAGAAGCTGCTTCCAGGTGCAGCTGAGCACCCGGGCAGGAGTGATTGACAGACCCCTCACCTGCAACCTTGAGAGCTGGGCCTGTTTTCCAGGAAGGTCCCGTTGAAGCCCCTTCTCAGCTTGGACCCTGGCTTGGAGGTCCAAGAGCTTCCTCTGCAGAGGCTCGAAAGCCGCCCCAAAGTCTTTGTGCTGAGTGAGCAGGCTCTGCAGAGACACAGGACAGGCAGCGGGCACATTAAGAGGGTTCCTCACAGGCACCGTGTTGTGAGACCTGATCCATGCAGCCAGGCTGCTCTTTGTCTCGGCCAGGTCCTGCTCACTCAGGTGCCACCCTCTCCAGGAAGCCTTCCCTGAACCCTGATGGAGTTGGGTGCCTCTCCTTAGAGTCACCATAGTGTCGTCACAGAACCCTTCGGCCACATCCCTCTGGAATTAGGGCCATCGACATCCCTCACCCACCGACCAAATAGCCCATCAGAGGCCTGTTTTTGTAAATGAAGTTTGGTAGTTTTTGTTTTTTTGAGATGGAGTCTCACTGTGTCACTTAGGCTGGAGTGCAGTGGCAAGATCTCAGCTCACTGCAACCTCCACCTCCTGGGTTCAAGCGATTCTCCTGTCTCAGCCTCCTGAGTAGCTGAGATTATAGGCACATACCACCACGCTGGGCTAATTTTTGTATTTTTAGTAGAGATGGGGTTTCGACCTGTGGGTCAGGCTGGTCTTGAACTCCTGACCTTGTGATCCACCCGCCTCAGCCTCCCAAAGTGCTGGGATTACAGGCGTGAGCCACCATACTCAGCCATAAAGTTTTATAGGAACCCAGCCATGCCCATTCATTTACAGCTGTGTCTGGTGCTGAGGAGCTGCGACAGAGACCACCTGCCCTGCAGACTGTAAAACCTTCACGATCTGGCCCTTCCCAGCAACAGTTTGCCAACCCTTGCTGTCAAACAGCACTTGGATGTCTTCTAGTAATTGCCTGTTTTTCTGTGTCCACCAGCAAGCTGTGAGTGTTTGCGGGTGAAGACCTTCGCTTCGCTTCTTCATCCCCCCAGGGCCTAGAACTGCACCAAGCCCTGCAGATGGAAGGAACTTGATCCTCTACTCAATGATCCCCCGTCACCAACAACAGTGGGACGTACCCCCAGCGCTACCTGCCCAGGAGCTGACATCGTGGGCTGGGTCCTGGCTGTACCCTCTGTGGACCATGAGCCATTTTCTTGACCATCCTGCTTCAGTTTCCTCATGTGTAAGACAAGCAAAGTAACAGTACCTCCCTCACAGTGCTCTTATGTGGATTAGATAAGATCCAGGGTCTGGAGCTCTTAGCGACTGTCTGGCCCATAGCCAGTGCCCCATGGATCGTAGTTACTAGTGTCATCATCATTAGATGCTCAGCAAACATTTGTTACCTAAAAGAATACGCTGTCCACATGTCATTGATGCCATGTGGTCATTCAGAAAGGTGTCACTAATAATATGAGCCTCCAGCTCCAGGGTGGTTGAAATTTTACAAGGGCTTTTATTGGCATTTTCTTATTTTACCCTCCTGTTGCTCTTTGCAGAAGACTGGGTGGGATTCGCTTTGATTGCAGGGGGTTTGGGGACAGGGCTGGGAGGCAGACAGGTGGTTAGGAAAACAATTAAAGGGACCATGCAGGAATCCTATCCAGTTACACATGGGTAGCCTGAGACTGTCAAGGACAAAGGATACACCCAGGGCCACACGGTGGCAAGTGGCAGAGCTGAGCTTAGAACACAGGGCCATCTGCCTCCCCACTGGGTACTCCAGCCCCGTGGCCAGGCCGAGTCCCGAGCAGACGCCCGGGGATGCATACCTGCAGTTTGCTTTTCCTCTGCAGAAGGCTGTTATGTAGCAGGTCTCTGTCCCTCACGGAACCCGCCGCCTCCTCCAGGAGTGCCATGGCCCTCTCCTGGCCAAAGACACCAATCAGGAGGTCTTTCTTCAGCTGTAGCATGGTCAGCGGCTCTTTCAGGCGGGAGCTTTCCATCAGGGCCGCCTGTGGGAGACAAGGCTTCCATGAACCCCACACAGGGCAGAACAAAGCTCAGAAACAGACAGAGCCGGGGCACACCTGTTCTCGTTGCAACTGCTTAGGAAGCTGTGCCTTTGTGCAGGTGTCTGAGAAACAGCAAACTCAGAATGAGCTGGCAGGAATGTGCTGGTGAGGCCCTGAGTTTCGGGTTCAGCTTTGGGTCTTCTCTCACCTCCCACATCTGTCTTGATACTCAAGCCTGAGTAATATCCACCTCCCGCATGCCTTGGAAGTCTGTCTCGTCTCCACGGTCTCTGGCCCTGACTGTGGCGCACCCTCAGCCTAACGCACCTGGACCACGCAGCTCCTCCCAGTTAGCTGGCTCTCCACCATCAACCGGTCACAATGCAGCAGAACCCAGACCCAGCCAGCTTGATCCTCTACTCAAAGATCCCTCTTCACCAACAACAGTGAGGCACACCCCCAGTACTACCTGCAGCAGTGTTTTGGACATTTTGAAGGGAGCTATAGGCCTGTAGGAGCATGATCAGAAAGAATTGAGGAAGGCTTCCAAGAGGAGGTGATACTCAGCAGAGTACTGATGTGCAGGAGTTTGCCAGGCAAAGAGAGGAACTAAGGGGGCTCAGAAGCCTCCTAGAATGGCAGCAGCCTCACATACAACCTGAATTCTGAGCAGCCCAGGCCCTGCCTCCTCCAGGAAGCCTTCCCTGACCCCATTGTCAGCCTACACTCACTCTTCTTGTCCCCCAAGCCCTGCAGCTCTCAGAGCCTGAACCAAGTGTCTGACTCCTGTTGCCTCTCCAGCTGTTTCAGGTAAGCACCTACTGCATTTCTAGTCGAGAGTCTGGGGTGCTGGAAGCCCAAGGTTTTGTCTTTGGCTGGCCAGAGTTCTTTCATTTTATACCTGATGATGTTGCTGAGAACCCGCTCTCAGACTTAAAACACTGAGCTAGGCACGGGGTGGGGAGAGAAAGAGCTAAGATTCCAACCCAGGTAAGCCACTTCAATACAAGCCAGAAAGCGATCATTCTCCTAAGCAAAGTTTGAGCTAGTGCGGCGGGAGTTCAAAGCAGACGTGGACACTCCCGGTTGGGGAAATCGAGTGCTGCTTTGGAGAAGGCAGTACTGATGATGGGCCTGGAAGGGCAGACATTTCCGGAGGAGGCGGTGTCACCACAGCCATGCAGCTGTACTGGCATGACCTGCATACCGGGGCATCCAGCTGGTGCCCAGCCAGAGGTCCAGCCGCACTGCGGGGAGTCTTACCCCCTTTCCACCAAGGCCAGACACCAAATCACAGAAGAGTTTAGGCTGGGGAGCTGAGATTGTGAGTCTGGATTATGTACTAGCTGGGAAGCCACGGGCAGTTCTGAGCCTCAGTTTCCTCTTTTGCCAAATAGTTTCCCTGGATCTGATCCCTCATCTGCAAAATGAGGGCGATCATGGTGGAAATGGAAATAAAGCGACATGTACATATTCAAAATATGTAAATTATGACAAAAATCAAAAACAACCTAAACCTCCAATTGTGGATACATTAAATTATGGCATACTCCAAAACAGAATATTATCCAGCCATTGAAAATGATCACTTTTATTTGAATGATTTTAAATGATGCTGAGAAAAAAAAAGCTCAAATGTGTGAAGTGAAAATATCAGAATATACAATTACAGAACTTGAACCCAAATACACAAAAATTACAATTAAATCTTCTGTCTCTTGGTGACCATATCTCATGGAAATATCTAAATAGATTTCATCAGATATAAAGGATAGATTTGGGATCTTCTGACCTAAAATTGAGGTTTGTGGCACATAAGAAATTCACTCCATAGGTACTGAGGAGTACCTAATAAAGATGGCAATCATCCTTTGGAGCATGGAGGTGGGAGAAGGGGCCCACTGGACCCTTGGAAAGAAAAGTCATGCCTTGCAGCTTAAAAACTATGAAGAGAGGCTGGGCACGGTGGCTCACATCTGTAATCCTAGCACTTTGGAAGACAGAGGCAGGCAGATCACTTAAGATCAGGAGTTTGAGACCAGCTCAGGCAACATGGTGAAACCCCATCTCTAATAAAAATACAAAAAAATAGCTAGGTGTGGTGGCGCATGCCTGTAATCCCAGCTACTTGGGAGGCTGAGGCAGGAAAATCGCTTGAACCCCGGAGGCGGAGGTTGCAGTGAGCCGACATCGTACCACTGCACTCCAGCCTGGGTGATAGAATGAGACTTGGTCTCCAAAAACATATAACAAAACAAAACAAAATAAAAGTGAAGAAAAAAATTCTTGTTCCAACATAAGCCCCAAGTGGAAAATCACAAGTGTAGATGTTTCGAAATGCAGGCACATGGCCAAGTAGTGTACCCAGTGGTGAGCAGGGGCCAACCCTGGTTATTGGTTCTCCCCGTAATAGCAAGGTGGCAGAAAAAGCAATGGAGAAATTGCCCCAACATGTTCGTCCCTATGGCTTGTGGGATTATGGGAGCTTTTTGTTTTCTTCTTCACACGCCTTTACACTGTCCAAGTAGGTGTGCCCTTTATCATTAGAATGAAAATTGATATAAATGGGGACTTACAACTCACATTTGAGTCTTTTCCCACTCCTTGTATCTAAGAATTACTAGACACAAAATCATTGGATGGACTTCAGAGTTCAATGATGCCAGAGGCAGTATGTACAGGCACACTGGGGACACCGTAGTGATGGGCATCATGGCAGATGCTGTCTACTGCCTACCCCATAGCCATTCCTACTTCTCTCTTTCCAAACAACCAGCATTTTGGGATGCAAAGGGCTCAGCTCCAGGGTGCTGAGTCTAATTGGTACAAACAAGTTATAGTAATCCCATCATCCTTGCCAGTGATTGGTCCAGGAATAGTCATATGACCTTGACTGGCCAATGAGCCCAGTAAGGGGAGTGTGCAGGGGTCAGGGGAGGATTTGAAAGGTGGAAGTGGAGGTGGAGAAGGCCCCCTGCGCCGCAGCTCTATCCAGAGCCCGTTGTTCATGGGAGGTGCAGGTCTGGAGCCATAGCAGCCATGCTGGGGCCATGAAGGGGGACTTGGCTTAGGTCTACAAAGGGCCTGGTCCTGGTGACACCACTGAGCTGTGGCCTGGCACCCTGGACTGCCTGAATGTCGCTGCTTTAAGCCACCGCAGGTCAGGTCAGGTTTCCTGCCACTTGTATTCGCAGTAAAGGCAATGGCCTGATAACGCTGCTCTCTCAGGACTGCTGATGCCTCCACCTGGGAGATGCTTGCAGGTGGGGAGCGTCCGTACAGAACCCCGGGTTAACCCCAGGCAGCAGGCTTCACCTCCTGCCCAGGAGCCGAGCTGACCTTTGTCACTGTAACAAGCAAGCATGGACACTCCCTGTACACCAGGACTCAGCAGACGGGGCGCAGGGAGCTCTCCCCAGATATCCGGAAGATCCGGCAATGGACCTTCCCCTGGGAGAGAGGCTGAAACGCCATGCCCCACCAGCAGCCCACCCCAGTCACAACCAGTTGGCAGGACCACGGTTACCTCGATCTGGGGCAGGAAGGTGTGAAGGGAAGGCAGGTCCGGCAGGCTGGCAGTGACCTCCAAGAGTCGCTGGGCCAGGGCCCTCCACAGCTGCAGATCCTGCAGAGGCCGCTGGAAATGCTGCCACAGCTCCACCCCCGCAGCGTTGCGAAGCCTGGCACTCCTCCCCTTCAGGCTGCAAGGACCGTGGAGGGAGAAAACGAGGGAGGAGAGAGGGTGGCTTCAGTCTAGGGGCGGGGGCCTCTGCTGAGACCCTCAAGAGGCTCAGAGTGCGCTGCTCGCTGCTCCCAGGGTGGGCCCTCTCCTATCTCAGTTGCTGGGGGTGTCTGCAGCAGTAGTTACAAGATGCAGTTGGAAGGAACTTTGGTTACTATTGCTATGAAAAGGCATCAGTTGCAGGCCTGGGGTCTTCCTGAGAACAGACACTGGGGCTCCCTGGGACCTGTAGGCTCTTTTATAATTTGCATGCATGGGCAGGACACGGTGGCTCACACCTGTACTCCTAGCACTTTGGGAGGCCAAAGCAGGAGGATCACTTGAGGCCAGGAATATGAGACCAGCCTGGGCAACATAGCGAGACCCCATCTCTACAAAAAATATTTAAAAATTAGCTGGGCATCATGGTGCATGCCTATAGTCCTAGCTACTCGGGAGGCTGGGGTAGGAGGATTGCTTGAGCCAAGGAGTTCAAGGTTGCAGTGAGCTCTGATTGCACCACTGCACTCCAACTAAGGTGGCAAAGCGACACCTGTCTCCAGATAAATACATAAACAAGTAGGAGGAATGAGTGTTCTCTGATTCTATAGTAGGTGTAAAGAGCTGGGAGATTGGAGCCAGCTATGGGGCCTTAAGTGGCTCAACATTAATAAGCCTCAGCTCTCTTGCCTCTGAAAAGGGCACCCCTCTCATACAATCAATCATTCTAAGTGTTACATGAGGTGACACATGGAGACATTATTCTTCCAGTCATGGAAGAAAATTCATTCAGACTGGCCTTCCCACTTTGAAAGACAAAAAAAATTGCCTGATCAAAGTTTTAAAAAACAAATAATAGAAATGTGAGTCTAACAGCCAAAGCTGCTTTGACCCTGAGGGCATTTGCCAATCTGGAAGAAAACAGCTGCAAAACTGATGCAGGGTTTGGCAGCCTCTCAGGATAAGGGCCTATCAAAGACGGGCAGATTCTGAAAACCGCGCCTCACATGAAGCTGGGATGGCAAAGGTCATGCCTTCGGGATGAAAGTGCATTGCAAGCCAGTCAAACGGACGGACGGCCCAGCTTCAGGACCAGGGAACTACAGGCCCTGAGGAGAAATTACGGAGACCCTAGACCAGTCCTGCCTGCCCCCAGGCACCTGGCAGGAGCCAAAAAACCCTTTCTTGAATAAGATACCATCATCCTAGGCCCATTTAACTTCTACAGATAATTTTTCAAATAGAATGTCCAGCACGAAGTCATAGGTAACCAGTACCTGAAACGTTGGTAAGAGAAGAAACCAGAGGGAGAGGAAGACCCTTGGCCACTCTGTCTCCCTGCCTGCTTCGTGCTCCGGAAATCCAACCCCCAAGCCCAGCCCTACCCCTACCTTAGCATCCCACGGGGGATCCAGGCCACTGCCCCTATTTTATAGACGTGGGTCTGAGCATGCTGTGGAATGAGAGACACCCAGCAAAGGTGGGAGCTCCCTACGTCCATTCTGAAGGAGCCCCCTGTACCAGGCAAAGATAGGAGATGCCCAACAGCCACGGAGAAAGTTGTGCCATGTTCAGAGCACCTCTGAGGCTCGCGCAGCGAAGACAGGTAACAGATTTCAAATCAGCACTTTGCTCAGTTCTGCACAGGGAGGATGCAGAGCTGCTGCTCTTTGCTGAAGGCAAAGACAGAGTGGCCAAGGGTCTTCCTTTCCCTCTGGTTTCTCTTTCCAAGGTTTCAGGTACTGGTTACCTATGACTTGGTGCTGGACATTCTATTTGAAAAATTATCTGTAGAAGTTAAATGGAATCTGGGGGCCCTGCTGTGCCTGAGCGTGGGGGCTGTGGGGCAGGTAGAGGCTGATCTGGAGACATTCAGATGTTGAAGTCAGCATCAGAAGGCAGGGGAATGGAAAATTGAAAAGCCTTCCCTTTGGGCCGTCACCCCTCCCCAGTGCTAATCTGCATAGAGTCATGACAGGATGGGCGGCTGAGTCGCTAGCCTGAATAAATGCAAAGTTCAGGCCTCTTTCTGCAAGCAAATGCAAAACAGTCAAAGGGGACAGTGTCTGCACCAAGTGAGAACCTATAAAGGCCCGTCATTGAGAGGTGCAGAGAATGATTTAGAAGTTACTAGGCTGCAGGAGAAGGCAAGCCCGCCTTCTGGAGATGGGGAAACTGGGTTCCAGCACACCCTGAGTCCCACCGCCCTCGGCCTGCCCAGATACCTCTGATACTCCCGGATGGCAGCGACGACACTGTCAGAGAGCGGCTGCAGGTCGTGGGGGAAGACCATGAGCTCCTTCAGCTGGGCCTGCAGCCGGGCTACCCGGGGCTCCTCCGCGGCCAGCGCTGCCTGTGTTGCCTGCAGCATGAGACGACACAGCGGGGTGGGGGATGAGGTTCCTCAACGGGATAAGTAAGTGCGTGTGTGCAGGGGAGTGAGCGTGGCCACTGAGGTTGGGTCAGGCTGGGAGGAAACTGTCAGCAAGGGCAGGAAGTGGGGCCCCACTCAAGCTCAGCCCTAGCGCTCTCATCTCCAGCTCCATGACTTGGATCTCTGCCTTTACTGTCTGTTGCTGGGCTACAGTTCTGCTCTTTACTATCGCCTACCTCCCAGCGTTGTCATGGCAAACACTAGCACCTAATGATACAAATAACTAATACTCAGGAGACAGCAATGCCAGGCCGAGCGCCCCCGGTGTCCCATTTGTTTGAGCCTCGCAACAACCCTGAAAGGCTGGTCCCTGCGTCCCCATGTGATTTACACAGAAACTCGGGCTAAGGGCTCTCTGATGGTTGCAGAGCCTGTAGATGGTGGACCCGACATCAGAGCAGGGCCTCTTCCTGCCTCCAAAGGCACTTTGTCAACCCGGTGATTATTCTTGGCAGGCCTAGAAGATATTTGCGTGGACTGCTCCCCAGCTGCTTCACTTCACTGTGTGCAGACACTGCAGACACAGCCTTTCCCTGCTGTCCTGGGAAGTTCCGCATTTGACCTTGATCTGCAGGACTCCCAGCACCTGCCCTGGCCCTGCTCAGTAGGAGGTGGGGTGGGGTAGCGGAAAGTGCATGGACTTCAGCATAACACAGAGCTGGCGGGGGACCCACTTCTGTCTTTTCCTAGCTGTTCACTTTGGGCTGTTCCCTCACTGATAAACGGGGCCACTCTCACCAACCACACGGATCCGGTGATATTGACAAGGCACTTGGTACAGAGCAGGGGGACCCTTGTCCCTCCATCCCTAGCTCTCTCAATCCCAGGAGGCAGCCCTGTGCTTTGCCCTTCTTTTTTTTTTTTTTTTTTCAAATGACCTCTGCTCGATCCTCTAGCCATGAGGAACCAGGGGCAGCTCCAATTAGGTTTAGCCGGGGGTATCCACAGATGAACAGGGATAAGAGTATTAAGCTCAGGGGAGAAAGCACAAATAGAGGGAAGGATTTTAGGCAGCAGCTGGGGCAACAGGGGCCACCATGTAGGCAGAAGGACACAGAATCTGCCCAGTCAGCCCTGTTCATTCTCAAAAATATTCCTGTCGCGACTCAATTAGTTAGCAAATGTAATGATGTCTATGAAAGTTTTTATGGAAGATCAGACACAATTGGTTTGTGGGAGCTGGCAGCTTGGAAATCATTCATGAAGAAGCCCTGCCTATCAGTGGCCAGGAAAGCTGGCTGGCCTCCAGGGATTTGGCCGAGGAAGGGCAAGGGTGCAGGGGTGAGCAAGACCGGGGGCTGCCCCCAGAGAGAGGCCTGTCCAGGCCACTGGAAGGCCCATCATCAACTTGAGGCAGCACAGGACACCCAGGGCCCTCATTCCTGGAGTAGCCACAGTGGGATGCCGTGCCATGGCTGGGTGGCCTAGCTAAGCATGACCTTCTTCTAGGCTCGGTTTCCCTCCTTGTAAAATAAGACTGCATCCCTTCCAGCTCTGATGCGCCATGCTGGTACCCATAATGTTGTCGGGTTTCATTTGCTGATTCCCTGGGAGGCTCAGGCGGGTGGGCCTTGCCAGGTAGTTGCATTTCCTAACAGGACACTGGGTAAGCCACAAAACCACCCTGACTTCAACCTTCGCTGCAAACAGTCAGTCTCCCTGAAACAGACGGGGTCCTCTTGCGGAGTCGTGATACTGAGTTAACGATATATAAAGACAGAGGTAAGGAGGGCTGATGCTTCTTATTTTAAAACTTTCTTTACCACAAGTCAAGCTTCGGTGCATATACCTGGAGGGAGGGGTGGGGGAGCTCTGATGGGATGTCGTGTCTGGGTCTGGGAGCAATCCCCTGCCACTGTGGGCCTCTGCTGCTTGGCCTCCTAGGGTCCCATGTTTGTTCCCCATCATCTCCACAGTAAGAGTTTCCCCTTCTGATCCAACATTCCCTGTTCCATGCAGAGGAAGCCCAGCCCTTATCCCACCACTGGGCAAGAGAGTAGCTTTGAGGCCCAAACCTGGCTGCCCAATCCGCCTCTGCTGTTATTTACTCACAGACCCACCACGTGACCCTAGGGATGTTGAGGGGGAAAAAATCTCTGCAGGCCCAGCTTCCTCATCCAGAAAATGGAGATAAACTTACCCAACTTGTCTACTCCCCGCTCAAGAAGCTGAGAAACCAAGAGTCCTGGAGAAGCAGCATGAGTGAGCTCAAGGCTCAGCCCGATTCTCCATCACAGAAGAGGTCTGAGCGCACAGACAGCGCCCCGGACTCCGTGACTTGGCTAAGCACGCTTACCGAGTAGCGTCTCCAGTGGGCCACCAGCTCGTCCTTGGTCCTGGCCTTTGCCGCAGGCTGCAGGCCCTTCTGGGCCAGCCTCTGCAGGACGGTCCTGAACTCACTGAGCTCGGCCTCCAGGCGTTTAATCTGCTGCTCACAGGCTCCCCTGGACTTGAGCAGGCCCCGCAGCCGCTCCTCCTCCTCCTCCAAGAGGGTGCGCAGCTTCTCCAGAACATTCCTCATCTCTTCCAGTTCTCCAGTAATCTTCTCTGCACCCAAAGGAGAGGTGTTCCGATTGACGCCCACAGCCTGCTCCTCCAGCCTTTCCAAAGACTTCTCGCCGCTGGGAAAATCTTTAGCAATGTTCTGAAGAAGGCAGAGCGGGTGAGGGAAAAACAGGCAGGGAAAAGAAAAGGTGGCTGCATTTTCCAGAGCAGACCTAGGACTGCCATGTGAAACACTGATTCCTGGCATCCAGCGTTAGAGCCAGAGGGGTCTTCCCAAGGGCTGGGCTGTCTGCCTTGAGTGCATGGACCCCCCACCCCGAGAACCCTATTGCTTTCCTGTAAGTCTTTTTCAAGCCATCTGATTTAGTCAAGGAGAAAGTCTCCGTTGGGTGCTTCTGTCCTTAACACTTTCTGACATTTGTTTATCTTCCTTTCCACGCCTGCAGCTGGCAACCCTGTGGAGCCAAATGGAACCGAATGGCTCCATTTGGTTTCATGGTACGTATTTGTGTGGTTATCTGCCTATTTGGAATCGGCACTCTCTTTTCCATTGATGGCGGTGATGTGTTTTCTTTCTGAATAACGAGTCATCAGTGTTTTTAAAAAATGAGTCAATTTAAACATAAATGTTAAAGAAACAGTTCAGGCACTGCACAGCTGTGGCAAAAATTAGCAGGTGGTTCTGAATTACTAAAGGCATTCTATCCACTCACTTTGTGGAGGGAGTCAGGGAGTCTGGAGCCGGGGCCATGCAGCAGGTGACCCTACTTCTCCTGACGGCAAGCTGAGGCCCGCACCACGGTTCTTCTCACTGGGCACTGCTGCCGTGTGGGCTGGGTGGCTCTGTGCTGTGTGGGGCTTCCCTGTGCACTGTAGGGTGTTTTTCAGCATCTCCGGCCACCACCCACTGGGTGTAGTGGCAGCACCCGCCACTCTACCCCCTCTTAGGACATTGCCAAAGATTTTCCCTGGGGCGAGGAGTCTCTAGATATTGCCAAATGCCCCCATTTGAGACCCACTGGCCTTGACCTTGCTGCTGTGGTCCTGGGTTTCCAAATGCTCTGCTGGCCAGAGATTTCCATAAAGCCTCTGAGGGTCCCAGCGTTTCATACAAGATTCCCCACCTTCATACAAGGTGAGCTTCTCCTCGCCGGGGTCTGTGTGCCATGGGTATTTATATATTCTGTGGCACCAAGCACTGTCCTATTAAAGAAACTATAACACAGAACCCACCCTCTGTGAGTGCCCCAGGGCCCCTCTGGTTGAGACACAGCTGGGGGTTACCTGCAGCTTGAACAGGCGCTGCGTGATGGGCAGCTTGCAGTCCCGCCCCAGGCAGCCGTTCACCTTCTCCACCACTGCCTTCAGCCACAGCTGGAACTCATCCACGCCTGCCTGGTACACCTCGTGCTCCCGGGCCACCTGCTCCAGCAGATCTACCCGGTCCTGTGGGAGGAGGAGAATCACCAGCCATGAATGTCCTTAGCCCAGATAGCCTGAAGGCCAGAAAAAGCTTGCCTCTGTGCGTGTGTGTGTGTGTGTGTGTGTGTGTGCGTGTGTGTGTGTGTTAGCAGGAGGTGCAACCAACCCCCAGCCCTTTCTCTGGACACAAAGAGCTCTCAGACACTCTGTCCTGCCTTACGAGCAATACGTCAAGAGACTTGGCATTGGAGACCAGAGCACGTTGGCACTGGACCCTGTCATTCTGCAGCTGGCTTTTCTTTTTTTGCCACACCCTAGGAATGGCACTGAAGACTGGGGTGTGGCAACAGCAGCAGCAACATTAGCACTGCTACTACCACACCACACTGTCATTTTGGGCACTCTCCGGGGTGCTGGGCGCTGCTCTCAGAACTTTACACAGACGAGCCCAGTGAATTCACCTGACCACGCATAAGGCGGTACCATCACAATCCCAGTGTGACAGATGAGGACACCAAGATACAGAGAGGTAAAGTGACTTGCCCCAGATCACCCAGCTAGGAAAGCGCCAAGATTCAATCCGAGAGGCAAGGCTGGGTCAACCAGCATTTCTAGCTCCATGACACAACTGTGTCCACAGGGTGTGCAAATCCACGTCAAGCGGCCCCAGTTCCCCGTGAATATGGTGATGTGTATTGCATGGGTTGGCATCGTCGCTATTTTCAGCCAATCCCACCAAAGCTCTTAACAACACAGGGGCAAGATGATGCCCTGGGGTGGCTGACATTTGGAAAATGATGGTGTCCCTGCTATGAGCCCTCTGCACTCCTAGAGACTAGGGTTTTCAAAACATGCCCTGATCACAGTGCTGTTTCCCCATATTCCTTCACAGCTCCCTGCTGGCCCCAGGCCCAAGTCCAATCCTTGCAGCCTAGCATTTCAAGGATAGGTCCCCATGAGGAAGCTCTGTGGTCCAGCAGTCAAGACCCTGACGTTGGGATCTCATTCCCTGTGGCTTGAACCTTGGCCCCACCTTGGGCATCTAATTAACCCTCTGTGCCCAAGCCCCCTCATCCATATGGCATGGTTAATAACACCTGCCTCATTGGGAGAAAGTGAAATGAAATGGGCCAGAGCTCACACAACCCCTAAAATACAGCCTGGTAGCTGGTAAGTGCTTTACAGCCACGAGGCATGGCTGACCGTCTGCTGCCTTCTCTAAGCCCTTCTCACACCCCCAGCAGGTGCCCACCCACAATAATAACCCCAGACCCCTCCTTCTCATTCTGAAGCTGTGCCCACTGCCCCAGGCTGAATTAACGACCTTCCCTCTGTGTCCCCAAACCACTGGGATGCAACTTCATCACAGCAGTTGTCCATGGCATCGTCACCCACTGGGGGACCCAGGAGGTCCCTAGAAACAAGGCTGCCCTGTTATTTCATCTCCCAGGGTCTAGCTCAGGGCAGGCTCTGTGAATACTTCCTAAATGGCAAGAAGCACAAATCTGGAGTGTTTGCCATCAGAGGGAAGTTTCCAAAGAGAGCCAAGAGACGGGAAAAAGGAGACTCATTTAATAAGCACCTATGCTAGGGGTGCTTGGAACTTCCAAGCATTATCTTATTTAATATTCAAACAATTCACAAAACCCTCTCCTATTCTGCAAATATCCAGACTGGAGTTGGGATATCACATAACTCTTTTGGTCTTACAGAAAAGATTTCAATGGCAAGTGTCAGACTCCAAAATCAATGACTGTTTCTGTCAAGGACCACACAGGAAATGCTCTTAGCTTGGCCTGCCCTATGGGGCTATTCCACTGCCGGCATGCAACTTATGTTGTAGCACATGAGTAGCCTCAGATAACGTGAAAAGAGTGGCCGTGTTCCAATAAAACTTTAATTATGAGCACTGAAATATTTTTCATGTCATTTTCCCACATCCAGAAATATCTGGCTTTTCATTTTTCCCAACAATTTGAATATGTAAAAGCCATTCTAGCTCATGCTTGTAATCCCAGCATTTTGGGAGGTTGAGGTGGGAGGATTTTTTGAGCCCAGGAGCTCAAAACTAGTCTAGACAACACAGAGAGACCGATCTTTACAAAAAAAAAATAAATAAAAGCATTAGCTGGGTATGGTGGCACATGCCTGTCATCTCAGCTACTCGGGAGGCTGAGGCTGAAGCTAGGAATGGGCTGGATGTGGTGTGTGAGCCATAGCTGGCTGACCTCAGCTCTTCATCATGGAGACAGGCCGTGTCCAGAAGGTTCTGACCATCTGTAAAGCTAAGTCAGACGCTCTCACCTGGGAAGCGTGAACGGGCAAGTGCATCTGAAAAACCCCTTAGCTCTTTCAGATATGCCTTCCCCTGTTTTGGGAATCTACTCACCCAATCTAGAAATACTACTAATTCATATAAACCTTGCAGCCACCAGCACAAGTAGGAGGAAACATCCCCATTTTAGAAACGGGAAGCCCAGGCTTAGGACCAACTCCTTCAGTAGACAGCTGAGAGGTTCTCTCAAGGCTGGGCATGGTGGCTCATGTCTGTAATCCCCGCACATTGGGAGGCTGAGGCAGGAGGATCACTTGAGCCCAGGAGTTCGAGACTGGCCTGGGCAACATAGTGAGATGGCATCTCTACAAAAAATTTAAGGATTAGCTGGGTTTTTGAAGCATGCTTGTAGTCTCAGCTACTTGGGAGGCTGAGGCAGGAGGATCACTTGAGCCTGGGAGGTGGAGGCTGCAGTGAACTGTGATTGCACCACTGTACTCCAGCCTATCTTACCTGACAGAGCAAGACCCTGTCTAAAAANAAAAAAAAAAAAAAAATGTTGAGCACTCCAACTGGTGCTGTGAAACAGAGAAATATTACTGGAGGCATCATACATCCTGATTTTAAAGCCTATTTTTTATTTTTTGAGATGGAGTCTTGCTGTCACCCAGGCTGGAGTGCAATGGCCTGATCTCGGTTCACTGCAACCTCTGCCTCCTGAGTTCAAGCGATTCTCATGCCTCAGACTCCCAAGTAGCTGGGATTACAGGGGTGCACCATGATGCCTATTTTTTTTCTTTTTTGTATTTTTAGAAGACACGGGGTTTCACCACGTTGGCTAGGTTGGTCTCGAACTCCTGACCTCAAGTGATCTACCCGTCTTGGCCTCCCAAAGTGCCAGGATTACAGGTGTGAGCCACCACGCCCAGCCAGAAACCTGTTTTAAAGTTTTAATAATTGAAATAGTTTACAACTGGAATACAGGAAGACAAAATTCTTACAAAATATGGGCCCTGCTGGAATCTGAAAGTGGAGCAAGCAAGGGGAACAGTCCCCTTTCTGCTTCCCACCTGCAGCCCCAAGGATGGTGCCGGGTCTCGGCAAACTCCCCTCTGTCTTCTCCTTCCTGTGGGGTTACTTACATCCATCAAAACTTTCCTGGAGCCTCCTCCACCCACAGGAAAGGCTCATTCGGGAAACAAAGTGGGTCGGGAGTAACAGGCAGAGGCTGAGTGCTGGGCCCCTGGCCAGCGCTGATGGTGATAGATGTGGCAGGGAGTGAACTGCCCCATGGAAGTGCCGGCCATGGCTCCTAGCGTGTGAAGGAAGAGGTGCTGGCACCCGGAGAAGTCCAGGGTAATTAAAGTCTGTGTGATGGGGAGCAGGTGCTCAGAGGGGAGCTCGGGAGGAGGGGTGGGGATCCCGCTGAGACCTGCGCCAGGCATAGCAGTCGCAGGGCAGAATCCAGCCGTGCTGAAGAATGGCAGGGTGACAAATGGGAAGGTGCTCAACCCTCTCATTAGACCCAGCAATTACACCATCTGCGGCGGGCAGAGCTGTCAGGAATGTCAAAACCCAATCAATTAACAAGGGTATGGATTGATGCCTCTGCAAAGGGCTGCACGAGCATCTCTGATTCATCACGAGCAGCTCTGATTCACGGCTAAGATGCCAGACAGACGCGCCTTCTGTGAGGGCCGCGGCTTCCATGTGCCTGCCTTTGGGAAAACTAAATTGGGATTAAAAACAAATAAGCAAGCCCCTCCCCAAAGCCTGCCTGCCCTGTCTACACTTCACTTGCAAACGCCGTGTGCCGACAACGTGCCAATGCTCCCCTCTGGGCTTAGCCTTGGCCCTAGTCAAGAATCTCCCTCCAGCAGGTGGTCACAGAGGCTGCAGTGCAGGGGGGACCCCATGGCACTCCTGTGGCCCTGTCCTCATCAACCCTAGTGGCTATGCTAATTAACATGTTGGACATCAAAAATGGGTTTTCATCGTTGAAACAGTGGCCTGTTCCTAGCCTGGCAAGCAGAGCCAATAGGCTCTCGTAGGTAAAAGTAGGGGCACTAATCTGAACCTAGAGACCCTCCCCACCCTGAGGCCAGGCTTGGACCCCCCAGGAAGGCACTAGGACAAATCTGTCCCTAGAGTCGGAGGACTGCCTTGAGAGAGACCTTTTACACAGAGGAGGTCTTCACCAAGCATTCAGAGCAGGGACTGGGAGGCTGGGACCACCAAGGATCTCTGCAGGCTGCTGGGTATGTGGAGTTCTGACCCGTCTTGCGATGAGGCTAGAATCCTCCCCCTTTGCCTGGGGTTTGAGGGCTGGGGACACCCAGGAGGTCGATGCCTGGGGCTGCATCCCACCTTGCTGATGAGGAGATTAGGACTGAGCAGCTAAATCTCCAGCCAAGGGCGATGGAAAATTTGCCCTTCTTGGGAGCCTCACAGGCTTCAGAAAAACATGGCACTCCCTTGACCCATAAAAGCTCCATCCATGGTTCTGGTGGGTGCTATGGCTCCTCCACCCACGAAAATGCATGCTCATACAATATGAATACAACCTCGAAGGGGCTGGAGGGGCCTGCCTGGCCCTCCCCACCTGCCCCTCAGTCCTCCCCACGGCCAGCTTCTGGAGAGACAGGAAACACCTCCAGGGTACACCACAGTGCTCCCATGTCAGAGCTGACCAGGCTCCCTGTGAGTGAGAACAAAGTCCTCAACTTCTGGGGTGCAGGAAGACATAATCACGTGGCCATGGGCTTCAGCCAGCAGCTGAGAAAGCCAGAACTGGACTCATTTCTCCATGCAGGGTCCAGTCACCCCAAAAACAACAGCGCCCCGCTTCCACATTGGCATCAGCATCGACCAGTGCATCTCGCAATCCAAGGGCTTCTACCATGGAGGAAGCCTCCCTGTCATCGCCCCCCAAATCCCCCCCAACACTGCTGCCTCCACACATGACACAGGCTCCCATGCTCCTGCTCCCAGGAACCCCCACCCCCCACACTGGGCCTTCACCTCTTGAGAGCCCTGGAAGCAAGGACTTCCTCTTCAGGAGCTCAAACCTGCCTTCCACTGTCTCAGCCTGGCCACAGAAGCACGTGGGGCCCCAGCTCATCCTGATGGTCACAGGTGCAGAGACTCACCCCGGACCTGAGGTGCAGCTGCAGAGAGCGCCACCTTGGGAGCTGCCAGTACTTCTGGCTTTTTCTACTGGGCCTCTGGTGTCTGACTCGTAGAATATGTTTTAATCTAAAAAAATGAATCCAATAACATCTTCTCCATCTGCTTCATAAAATGGTTGCGGAAGCAGATGAGGTCAGAGAAAGGAAAAGTTTAGGAAAAAACCACTCTTACTGATAAGAGCTTTGATGCCTATAGTTTTTTGGATCATGCTAGGAGAGAGCCCCCTGGGATGAAAATGAGGCTCTTGGCTAGGCATGGTGGCTCATGCCTGTAATCCTAGCACTTTGGGAGGTCAAGGACGATAGATTACCTGAGGTGGGGAGTTTGAGATCAGCTGGACCAACATGGTGAAACCTCATCTCTACTAAAAATACAAAAAAATTAGCTGGGCATGGTGGTGCATGCCTGTAATCCCAGCTACTCGGGAGGCTGAGGCAGGAGAATTGCTTAAACCTGGGAGGCAGAGGTTTTGGTGACCTGAGATTGCGCCATTGCATCAGCCTGGGCAATAAGAGCGAAACTTTGTCTCAAAAAAAAAAAAAAAGAAAGAAAGGAAAGAAAAGAAAGAAAATGAGGCTCTCGGAGGCGATCATTTCAGCATCTGGGCCAGAACTGATGCTCACTCAACACCGCAGCCTTCACTCTCACACACGCACGCGCACACACACACACACACACACACACCAACAACTTTTTATCTCATCTCCTCCACATCCTGCACCAGGCATTCTCTGCTGATTGGCACGAGCACCTGTTTCCTGCAAAGTCACAGCAAAGAGGCTGTGGAGCCAGGCACCTGTCCCAGCTGGGCCAGAGGGGCAGACCTGGAGAGAGAATTGCTATGAAGCCTGCCCGTGCCACACGGGACCTGGCAGGGCCAGATGAGGGCCAGTTGGCTGCCTCTGCAAGAGCCAAGTCAAATCCCTGCCTTGCCCATCCATTCTGGACCCTGTGTGGTCTTCTGGAGCCTCCTGTCACCCTGCTCAAGGGCTCTGGGGTCTGTCTGCCTTCAAACTGCTGGGGTAGAGTTCTCATAAGTTCAATAGATCGTTCTGAGCACCTGCTGCACCACAAATACCATTGTTGTTACTATTTATTGTCCCTGCTACTGAGAATAAAAGTCATTCTTTATATTGGTAAAATGCTTGTCAGTTTTCAAAGAGCTCACATGTAAGCATACAGTCCCCACACCCTGGGTGCAGGTCGGGTGAGCTGCCCCGGGGCTACACAGCTGGGAGGCAGCAGTGCCTGGCCTGGAATCCAGGTACCTTCCCAAGCGCCAGAGTCTTGTTCCTGGAGGATTCTCTAGCTCTGTTTATCATAGAGCTTACTTCCCTTAAACTGTCGGCATAAAGAACCCAGGAGACATCCAGTGCCAGCGCTACAGCGGAGGAGAGAGCCAGGAATGCCAGATAAAGTGTAACATAACACACATTGTTTCACTGTAACATAACAAACATTGTTTCAACACAGACCCAGGTTACACCAAAGAAAGGGACATTCCCATGGACCAGAAGTAAAGATGCCCAGGAAACTGCCATTAAACTCACACAGGTGCCTCAAGTCTTGGTTACTAGAAGCTTGAGTTTAATGCTCAGGCTGGAGTAAGAAGTGAGACTTTGGGCTCAGAGGCAGCAGAGACCACTGCAAAAGACAGAAGCCCAAGCGGCTGCCCACCCCCGCTTGCCCAAGGGCGAAGCAGAAAAAAAATACTGCTACAAACACAATCCGAGAAGGACACTTATGTGTTTTAACCTGGGCCTAAAAACAAACAAACAACAACAAAAAACCCCATCACCTCTCAGAATATAGAGTTGGGGCCTGGTGCATGGTTCTGGCTTGGGGTTCACATTTAGAATATCTGCTTGATTCAGGAATCCCCAAGCCAATTTATGGACATAAAAATAGAAATTGTGAAGATAAATCTCCAGGGGAGCCCAGCTGAAGAAGCCAACAGAAAGCCACTCTTAGGGGGTGTCCCAGCCGTGGGCTTCCGCAGACTCAGCCTGTTCGGACTGAGCTCAGAGCGCAAAACAACAGCACCCGCCCAAGGAAACAATCTACCATGTCAGGAGCCACACAGGCGCTTGATGTGGAGCTTCAGCCTCAGACCCTGGAGCTTCAGCCACTAGAAAAATCTGATGGAGACTGTAAAATACGTATGTTTAGAGTGATTGCAAATGTAAGCTATATCTGGAAGGAATGCAAAATCTCAGGGGGAAATGACATAATTTGTTAAAAAGAACAGAGAGACATAATAAAGAACCAAATAAAATTTCTAAAACATATAATTGAACTTGAGAGCTTAATGAAGTGTTTCACAATTAAGGCAAGAATGGGGTGAGGAAATGCAGACAGGATGGACAGGGGGACTGGGGCAAGGGCAGGAGAGAGCAAGGAGGAAACGCTGAGGGAGAAGGACTGGAGGGCAGGAGGAGGAAGGGAGGGGAGGAGGGAGCCAGGGAGAGGGAGAAAGGAGGAGCAGGGGAAGCCGGCTGGATGAAAGTGAAACTCACAGTCCATCAGTCAGTCGGTCAACACACCTAAATGTATATTAAGCACTGAGAAACACTGGGTATCTGGATGGTAGATAATGGTGGACAAGTGAATGGGTGGTGGAAGAGTAGGTAAGTAAGGATTGGTGGGTGGGTAGCTAGGCGGGTGGGTGGCGGGATAAATGAGTGGGTTATGGCAGATAGTGGGTAGGCAGGTGGTGAAGGAGTAGGCAGTGGAGAGACGGATGTGTGAGTGGGTGGGTGAGGGGGTGGGTTGATGAGCAGGTGAATGAGTAGAGGACTGGGTGGGCAATTAGGTGGCTGAAGAGATGAATAGGAGATCAGTGGGTTGGTGGGGAAGGAGACGGATGAGTGAGTCCACAGATGGGCGGGAGGATACACGAATGAACAGATGGTGGGGTAGATGAACAAATGGTGAGGTGCGCGGGTGGAGCGGGAATGGGAGATCGGGTGACTTGGTGGGGAGGCAAAGGGTGAGTAAGTAGACGGATGGGAGGGTGGTTGGATAGAGAACAGGTGAGTAGATTGATAGCAGGTGGATACATTGAAAAAAGGTGGATTGATAGTAGGTAGATAGAGTAATAGTAGGTAGAGTGATAGCAGGTAGACAGATTGGTAGTAGATAGATTGGTAGTAGGTAGCTGGCAGGCAGATAGATGGTAGGTAGACAGATTGCTAGTAGGTAGATAGGTAGATTGATAGGTAGAGTGATAGTAGGTAGATAGATAGTAGGTAGGGAGAGTGATAGCAGGTAGATAGATTGGTAGTAGATAGATTGGTAGTAGGTAGATAGCAGGCAGATAGATGGTAGGTAGATGGAGTGATGGTAAGTAGATAGATTGATAGCAGGTAGATGGGCTGATAGAGGGTGGATAGACTGATAGCAGGTAGGTCGATAGTAGGCAAACAGTGTCTGGATGGGTAGATAAGGGTGGCTAAATGGATGGGTGGTGAAGATGAAGCCCACCCAGCCTCACCTGGGCCTTGGCCTTCACTGCATCGTACTCAGCCTTCATTCTCTTCTGGGCGTCTTCATCCACGCTGGGGTCCCCGATCCTGTTAAACAGGGAGGCTGCCTCCTCCAGCAGCCGGTCCAGGAGCACTGCCTGGTTGTCCACGTTGTGCAGCAGCACCTGGGCGTGGCTCAGCTGCCACTGCTTCTCCTTCAGGCCCAGCTGGAGCTCGATGTGGGGCTCCAGTGTAACCATCATCTTCTGGAACCAGCGGTAGAACTCATCTCGGGCCAGCAGGTACTCGCTCCAGTGCAGCCACACCCACTCGATGCGGCTGTGGGCACAGAGACCTCACGGTTGTGAGGGAACCCACCACCTGCCTCTCAGGTCAGGGGATTGTGCTGCCACCTGTCCCCTGCCAATACTAGGTGGCTGTGGCCTGGGGGCATGATGATGCCCTTTCTGGCACCTGAGTCAGCTGGTTGACACTCCAGGTTCTGGACCCTCCCTCAATCCTACTGGATAAGACCCTCTACCCAGTAAATAAGCTCCCCAAGTGAGGGTAAGAGCCAGGGGAGCTCAGACTCCAAACTTGTTCCAGGAACCACCAGTTTTGGGGATGCATCTTGGGGATCCCTTTATCTCCAGCACCTTAAATCCTGGCCCTGAACTCCCGCTATCAATGCACAGACATCCCCAATCACTTCTCTCTGGCACTGGGGCTCTGAACAGAGTTTCTCCAGGTCCCTGGCAGAGGTGCACCCACTAATATGAGGAGAAGAGTGCCCTTGAGATGTGTCCAGTCACCCGCAGGACACCACTGTGTCTGTGGGCTCCAGTCACCCACAGGGCGCCACTGTACCTGTGGGCTCCGGTCACCCGCAGGGCGCCACTGCACCTGTGGGCTCCAGTCACCTGCAGGGCACCCTGCACCTGTGGACTCCAGTCACCCGCAGGGCACCCTGCACCTGTGGGCTCGCTGCACCCAATAGGGACAGAAGGGTGGGAGCCTGGCTGTGGGTTCCAGGGGTGCTGTTCTCACTCCGCACCCCTGCCTCTTTGCTTGCCTTAGTTTCCCCATCTCACCTGGGTGGGTGGCTCTATCTCCCCAGCCAATATCAAGCTATTTTGTTTGGAGTTCTAAGTGCAAGGATTTAGCAAGCAGAAAGCACTATGCAAAGTCATTCCCATCTCCATGCACATTCCTGCTTCATACAGATGGACATGATCCTGGCAGCTCTTCTTTACTGAGGGCCTACTTTGTGCCAAGCACTGTGCCTTGCTCTTGACATTCGCTATCCCCTTCTAACAACCTTCAAGGAGCACTTGATTACTCCTGTTGTCCAGAGGCAGTGCTTGAGGTTCAGAGAGGTCAGGTAACTTTCCCAAAGCCACACCGGAAGTAACCAGCAGGACAAGAGTCAATGCCAGGTCTGTCCAAGTGTCTGCTCCTCACCACCTGCCGCCCCTCCCGACCACCACCCAGCTTCCTGGTACAGGCAGGGAATCTGGGCTACAGTGCCAGCAGGGCACTGGGCCTTTTTTCTCCAGAACCATTCTGCCATGCTCCTGGAGGATGCACACCTACTAAGTCTCTTAGGAAATGTTTGCAAAACACGCTGGGTTCCCAGGGTCTATTATCATCATTCAACTTAATTATAATTAGAAAGAGGCAGGCAGGGCTGGCCCTAATCCCAAGAGAACATCTTGTGCCCTGGAATCCCAGGACTAGAGAATGTCTCTTGGGCAGAGAGCCCAAGCCAGTGTCGTGGTGGGCAGGGAGGGTCAATAGCAGCTGTGGACAAAGGCCCAGGGAGGTCAGGCCCTGGATGCCCTACCTGTGACAGTGAGTCATGTAGGTGACCGTCTCCTCCCACTGGGCCTTGATGTCCTTCAGCCGGGCCAGGATCTCGGGCTTCTGGTCCCCAGGGCAGCATGCCAAGAGGGCTTCAGCCATCCGCAGCACCAGGTCCACCTTCACGCGCCCCTCAGGCTCCAGCTGGCATATTTTCTGTTGTGGGCACACAAGCCAGTTTCCAGAGTTGGGCAAAAGGCAGACAGGCACAGCCTCGGGAAGACAGTGGCATGGTACAAAGAGCAGGACTTGAAGGCCAGAGGATCTGAGATTCACATCACAGCCCCTGCAACCCTTCTTGTGGGGTCTTGGGCAACCTGCCAATAACTCTGAGGGTGGGAGGCTGGAGATGAGCGTGCCGGGTGCCGTCCGATGAATGACTCCCTCCTTTGCCACTCGGCCCCCTTTCTAGCTGTGTGAACTCAGACACGTCACATTTGTAAAGAGCAAGTATGAATCGTATCTATCTCTTAGATTTTTTTCAGGATTAAATGATGAGAAAATGCACGTGAGGTACATGTCTCAGAGTGCAGTGTGAGAGTCCGCCTCTCAGATGGACTGCAGGGAGCTGGCCAAACCCAGGGCCCAGCTGAGTCTCCAGAATCATCTCTGCCTTTGCAGTTTGAACCAGAGCCTTGCTCCTGAGGCTGCTCCCACCAGAGCCCCAGAGCAGCCGGGACACTGACTCAGGTCCATTGTGGGAGATGCTGAGTGAGTGACTATAACTCACAAATAGCCCCTGGCTTGGAAACTGCCCTAGAACCCAGGGCAGCCTGAGACGGCCCCTCCTGACCTCACTCCTTCCTCGCTGCTCTCCTGGCCTTGACCTCACGTCTGCATCCCTCTGACCAGCCTCTCCTGACTCCCTTCCTCCCCATATTCTCCCAGGTGTTCCCCCTAATAAACAGCATGCACATTTCATCTCATCTTGGTGTCAGCTTCCTGGAGGACCAAGACCAACACATGCTGTCCAGCAAGCAGTAAGTCTCCAATTAACACTCGCTATTGTGATTGCCGTTATTATTCCAGTTCAGTGGCAGCTAAGGCTTGGTCTCTGTAGACAAACATGACTGGATTCCAATCCTAGGGCCACTCCTTACTACTAACGTGACCTTTGTCACAGGAGTTACATTCTCTAGGCCTAGGAATGGGGGAAGATAGCATTAGGTAACGTAGGGAGAGCCATGAGTACCCATGAGACCCACCGTCTTTTCAAGGGAGTGAGTTTGATGCTTCCTCACCAAAGCAGAGGAGCTGGCAAGACGCCAAGCCCCCCACCCCACCTGGAGAAGAAATGTCTGCCCCAAAAGTTCACCCTGTGGGATGTGTATTGGAGGCCTGAAGCCACGGGAGGCCGGAGGCTGTGGCTGGGCTGGGAAAGCCAAATTCTGAGAATTAGATTCCACCCTCTTTCTCTGCCCTGATGATGACACTCTTTGGCTGGTGTGGGGTTATTTTATAGCCCATGACCGAAGGGTGTGGTCCAGGAATGCTGGGCCGGGGCTGCGCAGCCAACTGGGAGAAAGTACTTGAACTGCGGCCACAAAATTATTCCCATTTGAAGCAGCCAATGAGAGCAAGGGGAAGGTGGGGATCAGACGGAACGAAATACCTTGGAGAGAAGAATCAGAAGACCAGGGTTAATCAGGGTTTTCAACTCAGCTGAGACCAGATAACCCCCAGCTGAGTATTACGCTGGGTGCCAGGGTCCCGGATAAACAAGCTGGGAGGAGGGAGGGCTGCAGGTAAGAGCATAGATGACTGTGAAAAGGGCCACAAAATAGTATGAGAGCTCAAGGAGGGATGGGAGAAATCCAGGAAGGCTTTGTGGAAGAGGTGGCATTCGCATCAAGCCTGCAGGTCTCTAATTGAAGATCACTGGAGAAGGATATGTAAGCAGAGGCAGAGAAGTAAGATACACTGAGGGATGAGTGTTTTGGGAAGCCAAGCCTTGGGAAACACCAGGAGGCCCCTGACCAAGTGCATGGCCCAGAAGCTGGTGAGGAAGTTGCCTGGCTTAAGGCTAGACCCAGGTACGGGACAAGAGATGGTGCCACTGCATTCCAGCCAGGGCAACAGAGCAAGACCCCATCTCAATAAAGAAATAAATAAATAAACATGCTGGGGCCTGGGAGAGTGGCTGGAAGCTCCTAAGACCCATTCCTGGAGGCTCTGGGGATGGGCAGGGACAGTTAGTGTGCTCTTATACCAGCTTCTAAAACCGTAGGTCACAGCAGCCTCCATTTACCCCGCTCTGCCAGCAGGCCCTGCACTGCGCGGCAAGCACATCTGGAAGTGATTCTCCTCAATCCTCCCTCCTCCTGCAAGGCAGCAGCTACTCCTTTTCCCAGAAGCAAGCTGAAGCTCAGGGAGCTCCGGAAAACCCTGCTGAGGTGCCACAGCCATGGCAGATTCTGGAGCCCAGGCCTGCAGGCCCAGGAGCCAAGCTCTCAACCCAGGAGTGCTGGGTTCTCCAATCACACCTTACAGAAAGCTGCCACTCCACGAGGGTTCTGGAGTCTCCATAACCCCTTGGGAACACAAGGGGTGAGGGGGTTCTTTCCTGCTCTACAGATGGGAACATGTGGACCCGGGAAGGCATGGGACTCGCTCCAGGCTGCACGGCTAGTGAGGGTCAGCACTGGGTCAGAGCACACATCCCGTCACTGCAGCAAACAGGCACTGGAGACAAGCCTAACAGAGCTGGTGGAGGAAGCACGAGGGAGACCCCAGAACCCGGGCAGGCCCCCTGAGGTTGAGAGGCACTAGCTGCCCCCTCTCACCAGCTGGCAACAGAAGATGTTTTCTTTCTTATTGTGAAACTGGCTTTGAAATAGTAAAACGCACAGAAAATGAAGCATGTCTGAGCTCCGTGGGAGGACACAGTGGCAGAACACTCAGCCATGGCTCCCCTCCACCCTGGCTCCCACTCCCTTGGGGCTCACAGAAGTACTGCCTCTGGCTCCCAGAGCTGTCCACCCTGGTCCCACCACTGTGTCTTCCTAAGGACCACCCTTGACTTTGCTTAAACCAGAAGCACCACCTGGAGGGAAAGACCTCCCAGCAAAGGGTAAAGTTTGAAGTGCTAAGCACCCTAACACAGTAAGCACTCATGCAGGGTGTGATAGTCACAGATGGGGAAGGCCAGGAGCTGGGGCTGAGAAATGGGGAAATGGGTCAGATGCTGGGACAGGAGGGTTTCATTTCTCAAGCACACCCAGACCCAAACAAAACGGCATTCCAAGCAGAGGCAACAAACGGACAAAGGCTGGGCAATGGAAAATCTAGGAGGTCTTCTGCCAATAGAAGGAGGGCAAGAGCATGGGAGGTGTGACAGGAAAATCTAGGAGGTCTTCTGCCAATAGAAGGAGGGCAAGAGCATGGGAGGTGTGACAGTG